TGGAAACTGGAGTGAAGATTTGATTCCTTTACTTTCTTTCTCTGCCATCACCCTGTCTCATCATTAAAATGTTATAATTCAAAGTATGATGCAGCTGGACGCCCAAGATGTTGTCACTTTGAACAGTTGACAGCAAGTTCCTTTCAATGCCGCCACACTTCAAAGAGAGCTTCGGGATGTCTTTTGAATGTTTTCATTGTCCTCCACAGTATGTTCGCCATTTGCAAGTTGAGAAAGCACCTGGTAGGGAGATGCTTCTCGTCCAATTGTACAGTAGAGCTTTTCAGGGGCTGGTTTCAAGGAGGACACATATATTTATTCACCAATCCCTCCCATTGAATTGGGAGAATGCAGTGGACGAATGGAATTTGTTTTGCATTCTTATTTTGACCTTACGTGGCGTGATACATGGTCCAGGTCTCAGTGCAGTGCAGGAGTGTGGTGACACATATGCTCTGTACACTTTTGACTTTTGTTGACTTACAAAGATCTATATTGTGAAACACTGACTCTCGTCATTTGTAGATGACAGATTGGAGCAGCTGATCTGGTATTGGAAGTTCTTGTCAATTATGGCCTTTTCATCTCAGCAATGTTCCCGTATCAATCATAAAAACTGTTCAATGTATTTCAGAAGTAGAATGCATGGATTAATTAATCTCAATGGGAGAGCTACTATGAACCACCAACTGAATGAAAAACACCAAAGTCTATAGTCCACTACAGGTATTAAATGCTAGTTTCCAAAGAAGTCATATTTGTCATGAAATGTTAATTCTGTTTGCCTCACCGGTAGATGGTCCCAGATCTGCTGAGTTTCTCCAGGGCTTTTTTATTTCAGATCTCTAACATCTGCAACATTATGCTTCTGTTAAAAGCTGGTGGGATTTTTCTCACATCAAGAAGACTCTATGCATACATTCATCCGATGGAATTAGGGGAAAAAAAATCCCTATCCACCACTTCTGACTTAAGGAATGTGACTTTTGTAAATGGCTTCAGGAAAGGAGATAAATCACTCTGTGGAAACTAGCAAGGTATTTAGCTCTTGTCCATAGCAGAAAATTCCTGACATCCATTCTCCTGAGCCAACTACATCCTGTGGCTGAGGAAGTCAGTCTGGCTTTTAGACAGATGGGTGTACATGCACACACACAATTGTCAATAATTGTTCCACTCACTCTGATGAAGTTCCATTGTCTTTATATATTAATTACATGATGGGAATATTAAAAGTACAAAGGAACTGCTCCCAAAGGCAGTTATTTAGTTTGTGTCTGCAGTTTATGTGTGAACCTTCATAAAGTATTCATGAAATAAATTAATATGGGAACATTACTGAGATGAATGAGCATGTTTTCTCACTCTAAAAGCCCCATGTGATATATTTCACCGCTTCCTTCTTGTTTATACTATGTTATGTAAATGATTTTAGGACCATCAAATTACAACAATGACAGCTTTTGTGATGATGACATGAAGATAATGTGAATTATGCAGTGAAAGAGTCTGCAGGGCACTAATATCCAATGTCTCATAACTAATCCATTTAGATCAAGTACCTAATCTATTATTCCATAAAGAGCGCTCATATCTTCCATTGATAAAAAGATTTAATGTTCCACCCCAGTTACGGTGTAATTTTGCCCAATTGTCTTCCCCCATATGTGGTAAGGGTCTATCAAGAATATATTCTTTTTCGTTATGATCGATAATTGGTTGCCTGTCAGTAGGAATATCTGTCATGCATTCCAAACCCACTCATTTCCAGAGATTTCAGTTACTTGGGTTGCCATGTTTCAGTGGGCCAGCACGTGACTGTCCATGGCACTCAGCAAGGAGCCAGCTTCAAACCATGGTTACTACTATGCAAGGTAAAAGGACATGATAATAACTTGCAGGGCTGGATGAACACAGCAGGCCAAGCAGCATCATAGGAGCAGAGAGGCTAATAACTTAGTATTTTTGTAACTTGGGTAAGTGAAAGGTGAAGTCAAAGCTTAGTATTCAATCCATGTTCCAAATCATGCACATTAATATTCTGTGAATTGTATTGTTAAGGTTCAGCATAAACAGATAGAGGGCAATGAGCATTTTACAGACTTCAGGATTCAACACTGAGTTCCACAAGGAGCCTGATTAGCCCAACTTTCCCCCTTTCACCACTCTCAACAAAGCTCACTATTTTCTACTTATACCACCTACTCTTTGTCTCTCCTCTACTACCATTACCACCCACTTTGCCTTTTGCTCTAAAACTCCCCACCATCTGTTCCATTTGCTCCTCCTCGCCCCTTTTTCAAAGCATAAAGCCCATCATTTTTCACAGCTCCACCAGTTTTTAAGAAAAGTCACAAGTAAATAGTTAAATCTTTTCTTCTCACCAAAGATGCTGCCAGATCTGCTGACTTTCTCCAGCATTTTCAGTTTTTATTTCAAGCTTCCAGCATCTGTGTGACTACTTTTATTCGGTGGATGGATTTGTCTGGAAAAAATATCTTGAATGCATTTTTTAAAAATCACCGCAGGGACTCTGTGTTGATAGGTAGGAGGCAGAGACATGTAAAGCGGCATTCTTGAATAAATCTATCAACAAAGGACCCACGTCTGCTCCTGTACGTCATCTGGCTCGAATCCATTTAACAGTGCATGTGTCTATTTGTACGTGTCTTTAAACATTTCTGTGACTTTGTGTGTGCGAATATGGCTGTTGCTGTGTGTGCCTAAGTGAGTGTGAGTGAACAAGTGCTAATGAGTGTAAATGTGCAGTCAAACGGAGTGACAGCAGACACATGGTACAAAGATTTCATTATATCATTGTTGACATTCCCACCATAAATACAATGGGTATTTGATCGAAGCAAATCAATGCATGCGCGCACACACAAAACTCTACACTTACTAACCCGCATCACTCAAACTCAACAGTTCGTGTGCCTGCATCTATAGTATCCTCCAGAAAAACAACCCTATATGAAGACACACCCAACATACAATGCGATGTGTGCACACAAGAATACATAACTCACACTCAAAAACACAAAACTCTCTCGTCTCACCCATACACACTCCCCCATCCAACAGACTCAGAATTATATCACAGTGTAAGCCAATAGTTTACTAACTTCACAGTCCCTGACGAAAAGGGATGAGGATAAATTTAAGCTCCTTCTTTGAATACCGGTTGCAATTAGAAACACACAAAATGACATTATTTGTGTAGTTGTCATTCTACGTTGATACATAAAGAAAAATATGCAATCCAACTGATGAAACAGTGATTGTTACTCAATTCACAGAAACCTCAAGGGGTTTTCAATCAATAATCACTTCTGATAGTGATGAGCTAAATTAGTAATAAATAAATTAGACTTTGACACAGATCTATTTTTGTGGCAATTCAAAAATGAGATGTTAGACATTGAGTATAAAGATCTGGTTAAGTCCTGGTTCAAGGTCTGTGCAGCTTGACCTGGAATGGAGATGGAAGGCTTAATCCAAAATCCTTCACTCTTCCTCTCAGGCTGCAATGGGAAGGCTCCTTCTCTTTCTCAGCAGTTGACCACACCGTTAGCACAACAAGTGCTATTGTGTTGCAATTCACGCAGGGAGTCTGATCTGCAGTGGCAGCACACAATTGCATGCAGTTACAGCTCATGACGGTAGAGGCTCCAATGTTTTCTCCATCTCATGGTTGGCCAGCAATCTCTCCCACTCTTACATCCTGTAAATATTGAATCATTTCTAACCCTTCAAGGAAAGAACGATTCTTAGGCTGGCTAGGTCTGACAGCATGACTTGACTCACTTACATCTGTGATTATGCCTTGTGGAATCCCTGGACTGATCGTATATGCAAATTGTACACTAGAGGTCACTCTCAGGCCAGTGTTCAGTCCCATTACTAAATAATTACCAGCCATGTTTCATTCATTCTCTAGAATTATCCAGTTAATTTGTTGAGATGCTTTCTCTGCTGGAGTTACCAGCTGAACTCCATGGCCAGTTGGAGGGAAACAAAAAGAAGAGTAAAAGACTCACATTTATAGTGCAACCTTCATAACCTCAGGTTGTCCTGAAAAACACTTCACACCCAGTAATCAAATTCGATGTGCAGCACAGAAGCAGATCATTCCAGTGTTAATGATCTACTCAAGCCTTATCCCATCTTTCCACAGATAAATCGATCATGGTAACCCTCTACTCCCTTGTCTGTCATTTTCTTGTCTAACTTTCTGTTAAATGCATTTGTACAATTAATTTTAAACACTCCCTGTAGTAACAACTTACACATTCCCATCACTTTTCGTGTGAAGAGGTCTTTTATGAATAACCTACTGGATTTCGTGGTGACTGTCTTATATTGTGGGCATATCATTAAAATACAGTCACTGCTGTACTACACGACACGCAGCAATCAATTTGTGCACAGAAGAAGCTCGCAAACAGCAATGCATTAATTGCTTAAAGGATAAATATTGGTCTGGGACACTGGGGAGAACTTTTCTGCTTTCCTACTCTGCAAAGGGACTTTTCGTTTCATTAAAGGTGCAACGTAAGTGCCAATTGTTGTTGGTCTCCTTTCAATGGTGCAGTGGCAAATTTTACATTCACAAGGTCAGGTGGGCCAGGATATAATATGCTCCGTCAGTGCAGCGTTCCTCCAGTCCTGCATTGGGACACAAGGGGCGAGAATGCGGCCAAGGACACTGAGAATTTGCTTTGACAAGCCTCTTGGGACACCGGGTAACACCGCAGGTGAATGGGGACTGGAAGGACTTTCGGAATTTATTCTTAGAAAATAAAGAATAAAGGGAAAGAGTTAAACGAAACAAAACAAAAACGACCTGGAGAAGGGATACATGCAAAATGGAATAAACCACAATAAAATTCCATAAAATAGCGCCGGTGATTTGAAGAGGGGAAGGGACAAAGTATCATGCTGCAGCGTTGTATAGTACATTCCCGACGCTCCAATTTCAATTCAGAGGCAAAGCCGAGCTCTCCGTCTCGCACACACACACGTTCAGTCCAAGCCTCTCGCTTGCGTTCGTTCTGACGCCAGCTGCTTCTCTCGTCTTTGTTCTCCAGGTTCCCTCAGACCTCTGTCAGCTCTCCTCCCGTTCCAAAAGGAACAGTCTCGGGGAAGAAACTGTTCCCCATTTTCTCGAGTTCTTGCTGTATCCCATCGCCCAGTGTTCGGAGGGAGCTCATCCTTCTCTCTGTGCGTACAGCGATTTACTGGGACAGAGGCGAAGCGGTATTGTAAATCCGAATTTTGTCTCCTGCCTGCTCGGTCCACGAGTCAAGTTTTTGCTCCAGATCTCACTGCACAGGAGGTGGAAAACAATGCGAGGATTTTCATTAAGTTAATTGCAACAGCGTTTGAAATCGGAGTCAGGCTCCGGTGGGAAAGAGAATCGATGCTCTCATTCTCAGCAAAGATCTATAAACCAAGTTATCATTTCTATTTCTGTGATCGCCAGAAGCCCTCTTAAAGGAGACGTCTCTCCCCAGCTCTCAGAGCAGGGGGAGATTTGAACGAATTACATATATCAAATTAAGAGAGGACAGGAGACCAAAGTTGGCAATGAAGGCATTTTAATTCCATTTGGACCAGACCCTGGAAGCAAGCCCAACAGAAATTGCAAGACTGGACTGGCGAAAGTGTCTGCTTTAAGAGGATTGTACAGTAGGAGACACTATTTGAGAAGGCTGTTGGAAGTGAGGAGCCGTGTGGGGAGCCGGTGGATTTAGTTGGCGCTGCGAACTGGACCGACCTCTTTTTCCAGGGGCTGATACTAAAACAATAAAATCAATCTTGTTTCTCCGAGTCATAGTGATAGTAACTCCTCCAATGTGAATGTTATGCGTGTTGTTTGGGGAGTGTGAGGTGGGAGATGGCTGCACGGTCATTTCGATGTGGAATCCAAGGAGCATCATCAGTGGACTGAGAGACTGATGTCTGTTTTCAGTTCAGTTAAAATCGTCCTCATACCCAGAGGTTAAACCACGCCAAAAATCAACACCAAATCTGCTGAGAATCTACCATGATCTGTGTAAACCTCTTCATCTTTCTGATTTTTATAGGTGAGTGGACCATTTCAACAATATTCTGCTTGTTGGAAAATTTGGGAAGGCGCGGAGACCAAGTGTCAGGTGCTTCGACAGAAAGTCAACTTGCTGGGGACCAGGGTAAAGTCGCTTTATTAAATGTAGTTTCAGTGACAGGGAGAGTCGAGAGATAGTTGACTGGAAGCTTTAACGAACGTGGATACAGAGAGAGGGAGGGTGGGGAGGGGGTGGCGGTTAGAGCAGGACAGGATAAAATGCCAAATGATCCATCTCCATTCTGTTCTACTGGCTGTAAGCGTCGAACCAGGCAGGGTTAAAAAGTTGTACCAGATGCAATCACGGGCTTCAAAGCGGGCGAATGTCGGCTTCATCCAGACCGATAGCTGGGGACAAATTTTAACCATTTTGAAGAATCTTTGTTTCTCTGGGCAAGATCTGCAGGAATTTATTCATCAGAAGTGCCAGGTTTGAGCATTTTATCTATTTGCGCTGGAAATTGCCGATACTAACAATTAAAGCGGGGTGATTGCAACAATAAATTTGGCTCTTTACAATAAGTTGCACGATATATGAACGTGGAAGTTTGACAAACACAGGATCAAAATGAGCAAAAGGTTGCGCTGATTGACTACGGAGGGTGAGAAGCGACTGGTATGACGCATGAAGACTAGAATGGAGCAGTTGGGCCGAACGGTCTGTTTCTGCGTCGTAAATTATGTGAGAATGTATGGAGATGTCATTGGGAGAGGTGATGTTCATAATCATGAGGGGAGAACGGTGGAGGGAGACAATGAGACAGAAATCGGGAGCAGCGCAGAGAGGAATGGTGGAGCTCAGTGTAACGCGAGCATTAAACCATAAACCTAAACACGTCTGGAGGAAGAAAAATGATGTCCTAAGGAAGGAGGTGGAGTCATGAAAATAAGATCCCAAAATGCGGACGGGGAGAGAGCAAGTGCACGGGCAGGAGCCGCTGGATTAAATATTGAGGGAAAAGTAACAGAGAGATAAACAAGGATGAGTGCAAACAAATGGACTGGAAGGGAGAAAAGGTGGCTACAATCTGCTCCTGTTGGAACAGGCAACGTTCTGACCGCAGAAACGGAATCCCATTGCTTGCTTGCCGTGGCGAACCCACTCGCTGTGCTGCTATGGTTTCGGAATCTATCCGCGGAGTCGATCGGGTATTCAGCAGCTGTATTGTTATTGATAGAGACAATGTATGTCTGCATATGACAAGAGATGAAACTCACACAAAAACTCTGCTGCTGATCAGTGAAGATATTTCCTTTTGCATCAATAGCGCAGCAAAGTGAAAATTTAGAGCGGACAAGGCTGAATAGCTTCTGAGAATGAAGTGACTTTGAAAGGAGAGAAGGGAACTCCGGAATGCGGAGTAATCACTGAAGGCCATTCGGCCCACCGTACTTGCACTCACTCGTTCAATAAGTGCAATGACCGAGTGCCAATCTCCTGGTTTTCCTTACGGAATGAACACAGGCATGGGGTTTTGTCCGACTTCTTTAGCCCCTCTCCTCGACTCCAAACTCCAGGGAAAATTAATCAAACCTTAGTGCAGTATTGAAAAGAGAATGCTACTGATTCAATCAACTTGTTTAATGATCCAATATAGTCAGTCCCCACTCACTGAAAGCTGTGGTTATGTTCCTAAAAAGCAAGGCGTCAAACAACATGACTTTATTAAGTATATGGGTTTTGTAGGATTTTCCTTCTTAAGGAAACATAAATAAATATTAAAATATTATACCCTCCAAGTTCAAATATTTTACACTATTAAATGCTGACATTGCCAAATGAAATTACTTGGAAAATAAAAGGAGATTAAAAATATAAAACATAAATGCAGCTTGCTACCTAGTACAGATCCTGCTTCCTGATTACTCCGAGTTGCTGCAAATCTTCCTCACTCTCTGACCGTCCGAATTGTGCCCTCTCTCCTCTACCGACCCCGGGTTATGGCCTATTCCCACTCCCAACGCACCCACTCTCCGCTTCCTTCTCCAGGACTTGCGTTTCTGTTCAAGATCCAGTTTCACTCCGAAGCCGGAATTCTGCTGTGGTGGAACTGCGAGTCCCGACAGTTCAGTAATATTGGGACTTCTACCATCTGCATTTTTATTAAGTGCTCCCACTCGTTTCTTCCCCCTTTGATCTTGGGAGGAGACCAGGGAGGAAGAGACATTTGAAAGTAATTGAAAAGAATGGACTGTAAAAGTTCGGGCGCTTCTGGGACGTGTTTTTCCATGGCATGGCTCTTAAACCGGAACGTGAGTTCAGGAGAAGCAAATGGCGAGAGGGTAGGTCCGGGAGTGGGGAGAGTCACGAATTGCGTGGTGCATGAAAGGACGATAAAACTAATCTCGAGATGCTCAACGAGAACACAGGCTCCAATATTTACCAGCATTCAAGTAAAGAGTGGCAAATAGGTCCATTTTAAAAGAGAACTTACTACAACGGAAACTAAATCCCCAAAATTCAGGGAAAATTTAATACAATTAAGAGATAGTGACATTTGTCTTCGCATGCGGACGCTGATAATCATCTGGAATTATAGCTCAGCGTTATTACGAGGCATTAAATACATTTTGCAAATTACAGGTGACTTAAATGTTGGTGTGTGCATAGATTTTTCTAAATCAGATGATATATATATCTTTTAAATATTAATTGTGTTTATGAAAACTGTACACATAAACATTAATGATTGGAGGCACATTTCATGGTTAATTTCCAGTTAGGATTGTATTAATGGCTCCTGTCGGTGGATAAATAGCATATTACCTGGTTATATTTCCAATTAAGGTTATATAAAAGGTTTCTATCAATAGTTTATTCGCTCGTCAGGATCACACAAATGATTCCAGTCAGTGAATTCATGACACATGACCTGGCTATATTTCTCGCCAATGAATTAATGACATTATCTGCGTGCATTTCTCGTTAAAATTGCATTCATATTGCACTTCTCACCTGTTTGTAAAAAAATATTTGCTCTTTTCCCTCCCACCCCCCACCTCTTCTCCGCCACCATGTGCAGATGAGGTGCTGCGTTCAGCTGGGGATCCTGTCCTGCCAAGTACCTGGAGAGTGGACTGCGTTCGGGCCAACGAGTTATGTGCGGCTGAACCTGGCTGTAGCAGCCGCTACCGGACCCTACGGCAGTGCCTCGCGGGGAAGGCTGCCATGCTGTTTGGTCCTGAGGCCAAAAACGAATGCATCGCTGCCATGGTGGCACTGCAGCAAAGCCCACTGTTCGAATGCCAGTGCAAACGAGCAATGAAGAAAGAGAAACAGTGCCTGGCCATCTACTGGAGTATTCATCATAGTTTACAGCAAGGTAAACATCGATTGTCATCACAGCAAAAATAATTCAGCTAAAGTCAGTTCAATATTCCATTCTGGCAGTTTGAGAAATTTCATTCATAAGCTTGTAAACTGTAAAGACCACAGACTGGAACTTCCAAAGGGTACAGGCAGATTGGTGGAATGAGCAGACATTTAACAAATGAAATTTTATGCACAGAAGTATGAAGTGATTTATTTTGTGAAGAAGGATGGGGAAGAAAATATAAAGTAACAAGTCCAATTCCAAAAGGGGGTATGAGGGCAGAGGGACCTGGATGTACATGTGCATCAGTTTTTGAAGGTCGTGAGCCTGTTAAGAGAGCTCTGAATAAAGTATCTAGCATCCTATTAATAGTGGCATCGAGTATAAAGAAAGGAAAGTTTTGTTAAACTTGTAATGACCACTAGTTCAGCCTCAAATGCAGTGTTGGCATCCTGTTTTGGGCACCACACTTTAGGAAGCATATGAATGCATTCAATAGGGTGCAGGGAAGATTTAGAAAAATAGTTTCAGGGATGACAGATTTCAATAATGAGGATAGATTTGAGAGATTGGAGACTGTTCTCCTTTTAGAAGGCTGAAAAAAATTCATTGGAGAATTTCAAAATCATGAGGATTTGAATAGAGAAGGGAGAGAAAAATGTTTCAAGAAGTAGAATAATTGAGAAGAGAACAGTTTTAAGGTAATTGATTAAAAAAAAAGCAATAGCAACAAGGGGAATAACTTTCATGCAACAAGCTCTTAGGATGTGGGCACAATGCCTGAATATTTGATGGAAGCAGGTTTTATTCCAGGCTTTCAAGAAAGAATTTAATTGTTATCCAAAAAGAAAAATATTGCAGAGTTCAGGTGAGAAGGTGGGGGAGTGGCACAATGTGATTAGCTCCAAAGAGAACTGTCACAGACATGATGAGTTGAATGGCCTCCTTCTGTCCTGCAACTATTCTGTCATTCAATGACAAGTTGAGATTAGAGACAATAAAGAGTCATCAAGTCTGGTTGGAGCTGTCCACTGCATGGTAAACTGCCTCGAGCCACCATTAAATAAAATGTCTCCTCATCACTGGGAATGGTTGCAAAATGACATTACTGGACAAGTAATCCATCAGTCAGGACTCATTTTCCAGACTTTAAATCCATCTATGCCAAGGGGCATTTAAAGTCAATTAATTAATTAATTAATCAGCAATAAAATTCTAATTTCATTCCTAATGACCAGAGAACTATTGAACTGTTGCAGAAACCCTTATGGTTCACTAATGTCCTTCAGGAAAGAAATCTGCTGTCCTCACCACATCTGGCCCACAGTGATATGGCTGATTTGTAACAGCTCTCTGAAATTGTCTAACAAGCCACTTCTTTGTGGGTGGCTCATCAACACTTGCTCAAAGGGACAATTAGGGAGGGGCAAGAAATGCCTCGCATACTCAGAACAAATAAAGACTTTTCCTTGTCTATTCTCTTCTTCCAGTTGTATTGACAGTATTCTTAAAAAAAACACCTGGAGTGTGCAGTTAAATACGGTCTTTGTACTGGCCAGCATTGAACCTAACTATTAGTTCCACACTCTTGACAGTGACGCAGTTAAAAATAGATATTGGCAGATTGCCTTTTATGTGCTCCAAGTCATCTTCAATGCAAAACACCCTGCTACATTCTGTTAATTAAAGTAACTAAGTTTTGCAGAAATGCTTTATTTTAATTAATATTGTAAAATGAGACTGACTTAAATTAATGATCATTAATAGTTGATGATCAAAATGTACAGCGTTGAGCTTCATACAGAAGGGTCAAAAAATCTCTCAAAGAATTAATGCGCTTGACATATTGTTGCAGTAATTTGAACAGGAGATTTATGGGACGAGGCCAAGGGTAGAGTCTTGGTATTATCTACTTCAGTTCTGGATACTGATCTTGTCTCTTTCACCTCTAATTGTGTGATTTAATTATGTACAGTGTAGATTGACTGGATGTGGTTGACACACTGTCCTAATCAGTATAATACTGAAGAAGACCAATCTAAGACGGGGTTGACCACAATTTAATTTAAAAATATAAAGTTTAATGACCTCCAGATGACCTCCTTCAGCAGCTTGCCTTATTTAGATTCTCACAAGGTTTATTTGAGCTGCAGCCTTTTAAAGGAATCAGAAGATTTGCAAGAAAATGGCACAACTAGGTAAGGAACTCTAATCAGGTATGCAAACACTCATACTCAAAATACTTCAGAGGTCATGGAAAAGTGAACGACTTGGATTCAAATGGTACAAGATAATAAACATTGAGCTATCTTCTCCATAATTTATTCAACTCAGTTAAAAGAGCCAATATACCGCAAGGAAGCTGGACCTTGTACTGAGCATGAGTTGAAGGCAAGAGAACTGTTATCCTTCTGGTGCGACCAGTTCTCTTCTAGCCTCATTGAAGGGTGCATTACCAAAAGCTGCTCAGTTTTACAGATCCCTCAAAGATTCTCCTCATCATCTAATGCTCAGATGTTTCCCACCATAATTTTATAAGCGAATTTGACAACACATAAGTTTCATGACAGCCTTTCAAAATGGAGTTATATTGAAATCCCTAGGAGTTGTTCACTTTATTCTTTCTGGCTTCTGAAACATAAAGACTCTCACTTTATTTCACGAAGGCCTGAGAGCCTTTAGTGATCCACCAATAGGAACTGCAAGTTCTGTGGAATTAACTTTCAGTTTTAACTATCTGTGTTGCTATGAATTTGGGTGGCATGGTGGCTCAGTGGTTAGCACTGCTACCTTACAGAGCCAGGGACCTGGATTTGATTCCAAGCTCCAGCAACAGTCTGTGTGGAATTTGCACATTAGCCCCATGTCTGTGAGGGTTTTCTCTGGGTACTCCAGTTTCCTCTCGTGGATTGCAGTGCGATTGGTGGATTGGCCATGCTAAATTACTCAGAGTGCCCATGGATGTGCAGGCTAGGTTTTCTAACCACAGGAAATGCAGGGTTACAGGATAGGTGGGGTGGGTCTGGGTGAGATGCACTTCAGACAGTCGGTGTGGACTCAATGGGCCGAATCACCTGCTTCTGCACTGTAGGGATTCTATCAGTTGGCTGAGAGGATGCTTAAGGATTTCAGTTTTTGGATTTGAGAAACTTAAAAAATAATTCTTTCAGGGGACATGGGCACTGCTGGAAAGTCCAACATTTGTTGCCCACTCCTAATTACTGTTGATCTGATTAGCTTGCTAGACCATTTCTGAGGCAGTTAAAAGTCAACTACATTTCTGAAGATCTGGAATCCCATGTAGGCCAGACTTGGTAAGGAAAGCAGATTTCCTTCCCTGAAGAACATCATTGAACCACACAAACTTTTATGACTATCAATGATGATTTGACAGTCACCATTGCTGCATACAGCATTTTAATTCCAGGCATATTGAAGTTAAGTTTCACTCGTTGTTGTGATGAGATTTAAACCCATGTTCTTTCTGTAAGGATGCTCCTCTGAATGACCAGACCAATGACATGGGGAGCATTGATCTGTCTTTTCTCAATAAAATTCCCAATTTTGAAATAAGGTGGCCTCATGTGTGACTGTGTCACAGAATAACAATATCAAAGATCCTTATTACTTATTGCCATGACAAAACCTTTTCAAATACTATTCTGGAACAGGGGAAGGCTGAAAACCATTGTGGAGATGCCAAATCTGGTTAGGGAAGTTCTAGCTGACCTAGCTTGAGCCTTCTTGAGTTAGCTCAGGTGAATGATTACCAATCATCTACAAATTTTCAAACATCTCACCCTGTGCTTAAAACAATTTAAGCATTGTGGTCTGCTCAAGACTAAGAAGTCCACCTGACTTGCCACTTAATCTAGTACCGCCCTCAAATTGCTTCGCTCTCTCAAAAAATTCTCAAGTGTTCCTGTCTTCCTAAGAAATTGGTTACCACATTCACTGCCCTCTATCTTAAAGGAAAACATTAAGAAGCCTGAAATGCATAAACCTGATGTCTCATTCAAACATACTTTTGAAAAATACTCAAGGATGTTTTGAAACCAATTGGCTTTTGCTGAATAAGACTGACTATTGTCAAATGCAATAAAAATGCATATTTCCTTTCAAAAGAAATGTCATCAACAGATTGGAAAGAACACAGCAATTAGACACTGCGTGAAACGTGCTGCTTGGTTAATGACTCCAATTTCCTCAGATTATTGTCAAATTCAATATCTTATTTGTTTGTCAAGGCAAAACCTTCTAAGTGGAATTTCAAATTAAAAGTCAGAAAATGTTGAAACTGTGCAGTTAGTTAGCTCAGTCAGCTGGACAGCTGATTTGTGATGCACAGTAATGCCAACAGCTTGGATTCAATTCCTGTACCGGCTAAGTTTACCATGAAGATCCCTCCTTCTCAATCTCTCCCCTTGCCTGAGGCCTAGTGACCCTCAAGTTAAACCACCACCAGTCATCTCTCTCTAATGAGAGAGTAGCTCTCTGGTCTGCTAGGACTGTGTGACATCACCTTACTGTGCTCGTTTTAATGTCGTCTACACCTTCACTCTCACCGTCCCAAATCCTGACTCCTTCACCTCTCTCTGCGCTCACTCTAACCTCCCTCTGTTAATTTTGAGTTCAGGAGGCAACAATATTAGCCATGTTTCCCCTAAGCTGTACGAGTCCATGTCCGTACAGCAATCATGAATGTACCGTGTTGGTTGTGCAGAACAATGAACAATTAAAGCAAACATTTGATTCTTTTTGTTTTAGTGGGTAGAATGACTGCGAGAGAAATCATAAGTTGCTAATTTTTATAACATCCTTTGTTCAGTATACTATGCTTGATCATATGAGTGTGTTCATTTCAGATGCACACCGTGCTAGATTGTTTAAGTCTGGTTGTAAATTCAGAGAAAAGTTATCAACTGTTGCCAAAGTTGGAAGCTAAATAATTTTAGCTCATCTTTTCCTTCTAAAGCTGCTGCTAGTCACTTCAGATGATTCTTGTGTGC